CMWWWTTWAWTTYMMSGKKGKYSGRRRMCGTCCCCGATTCAGTARTCCTTGCAGGAAGGTCAGCATGTCAGAAACTGAACACTGTACCGGGTCCTGCCCTTTGTTGTGACACCACCTTTCGAAGATTGCCCGTTAGCATAGACAGTGCGGGTGGACGGTGCCCATGCATTAGCCATTGTTTGTCCTACTTCTCCAGCATACATTGAGAAAGTGATGAAATCTGGCCCCCCAGCTGGGAAAGTAGATCCTCCCTGGAGGGGAGCGCATCGGCAAGCTGAAGCAAAGCCTGTACAGCAGAGGAAACCAAATCCTCTCTGGCCAAAAGGGGGCCACCAAGAGAACCTTGTGGCCCTCCTGAAGAACCCTCAGAAGAGTTGGAAAAACTAGACTGACTGGGGGAACGGCATAAAGAAGGGTCTGGGGCCAGTTGTGCACCAGCGCGTCACACCCCAAAGAGCTGGCTTTGTCTGCTAGGGAGAACCAAAGGGGGCAGTGAACTGTTTCCTTGTAGGCAAAGGAGTCCATCTCTGCCCTGCCGAAGACTCTCCAGATGTGGTCCACCACCTCTTGKTGAAGCTTCCATTCTCCCGGCAGTGGCCTCTGACGGGACAGAAAATCTGCAGTCATGTTCTGTGATCCCGGGATATAGGCTGCCCTGATGCTGGAGAAGTCTGGAGCTGCCCAGSTCAGCAGTTGCTGGGTTAAACAATAGTTTCCTTGACCTGGTCCCCCGTTGGTGATTTACATGAAAGACAACTGAGGTGTTGTCTGACCTCACCAGTACATGCTTGCCTTGCAGGCCCAGCAGAAAGCTCTGAAGGGCTAGAAATACAGCTTGCAACTCCAGGACATTGATATGTTCTCTGCCCTGTTGCTGGGACCACACCCCTTGCATTGTCTGGCCCTGCCAGGTCGCACCCCACCCTGTGGAGGATGCATCTGTATACACTACCTCCAGTCGACACGGGAGGCAGCCCAGTGGAACCCCCGTTATAAATGACCTGTTTCTTCACTAGACAGGGACTGAAGACACTGTGGTGTGRTTTGAAGTCTCCTGAGTCTGTGTGTTTGCCTGGTGGGTTCCAGGCTTAGACTGTTTAGCCATCTCTAAAGGGGGTGCAACGATAGCAGCCCTAGGGGCACCACACTGGATGCAGCCGTGAGCATGCCTAACAGATGAAGATACAGCACAAAAGGTGGTTCTTTGCCATGWCTGAATGTTTGAAGCATGTCCAGAGTGCTGTCGACATGCTGGAGTAACAGGCATGCAGTCATTTTGATGGAACTCAAGGTAATGTCTAGGAATTTTGTTTCCTGTGCAGGAACCAAACTGCTCTTTTCATGTTCACCTGTAGACCCAGGTGCTCTACATGCTCCAGCACCATCTGAGTGTCTCTGGTAGCCTGGCTGCAAGTGGCTGCACAAATGAGCCAATTATCCAGGTACGGAAAATTCCTTATCCCCTGAGCCTGCAGGCTGCTGTGACGCTGGGTGAACACCCTGGGGCACAGCAGATGGCAAAACCCTGAACTGAAAATGCTTTCCTTGGAAAGTAAAACAAAGAAACCGCCAATGGGACTGAGCAATTGGAAGATGAAAATAAGCATCCGTGAGGTCAATGGATGTGAACCAGTTGCCCAGATAAATTGCCTGCAACACCTCCCTGGTGGTTAGCAAKTGAAAAGGTATGACCTYCAGGTATTTATAGAGGCCCTTGAGATCCAATACTGGAGATAGACCCCCGGTTTTCTTTGGGATAAGAAAATACTTTGAATAAAAGCCCCCTGGATCCTGCAGAGGTTTCACAGGCACYATAACTCCCTTGGCCAGCAAGGTGCAGATTTCTTGATTTCAGTGCCTGCGACTTTGCCAGGCCGCAAATGGTAGTCATTCTGGCCCAGACAGGGATTGGGGGCCGGTGTCGGAACTGGACGGTAGCCCCGGGACAGGGTGTAAAGCACCCACGAATCTGGGGTGTGGGCAGCCCAGCTGCTGAGCTGTTCCGGGGTAAAATATCTGATTGCCGGCCTTAAAGCTTCACGTGAGGCCCCTCTGGCCTCTTGAAAGCCTGGGGGACAGCGGCCTAGCTGAGCTGCCCGAAAGGAGCAGGAAGTCTGGGCCTCAGTCTGGTCTCCCTGGTTCTGGTCCGGTCTGCGGGCTGGTCTTGGGCCCGGGCTCCGGCGCTCCATAAAAGATGTAGTAGGGRGCGCAGACCTCCACGACGGATCAGTCGTTGCCCATGAGCTAACAGTTTGGCGTTCCCATTTGTGAAGCCTTGCCAGTTTCTACCTCGTTCCAGAGGCTTGGGCCGTGYGTTCCAGGGCGTCCGTTGCTGCAGAACCAAACAATTCCCCTGGCACCACAGGAAGKGTCCTTAGGGTCCTCCTGCAGGGCTCAGTAAGTGGTGACTGCGCTAGCCAGATCTGGTGCCTAGCATGGACCAATGTGGAGAGCGTGTGTCCAAGCTCTCTAGTCATAAAGCCAAATGCCTGCCCTGCAGAGATGCATCGACCAGGTCTTGGGTTGAGTGGTCAACTGTGACTGCCTCCTGGGAGGAGGAMAAAGCTAACATTAAATGGGAAAGAGAGTTCCCAATACGACCCATGCAAGCTCCAGAGTCATACGCCTAACSCCTTACAGAGCAGGTCGTCTGTAATACGGCATTGTGGTCTCGGGCACTGCGCATTAGGTCTCAAGACCTCATCTGGTGGGACAATAAGGGAGGCAATGCCTCATTCCACAGCCGGCATCTGCCCCAGCCCGAACTTAGGTGCCTCCTGCATGGCAGCCAGAGCTCTGCCATCTGATGTTGGCCGTGACAGCGCCTTTGTGTCCGTCCAGCAGACATGTAACTCTCGTGTATATACTCTTTGAAGGAGGGACTACGAAAGTAATGTCAGAGTTACAGCACCAAAAAAAGGCGCTAGAAGCAGTGGGACGCACCTGTGGGACATCTAGCTGTAGCCGAGAGCTGTCCTAATGTCGCTATCACTAACTCCCCTGAGTCCCCTTGGGAGGCGTTGGACTCTGAACCAGATGCTCTGGACTTCGACTCAGGAGGGTCTTCCCAGATTTGGGTACCTGAAACCGCCACCAATATGATATCCTAATCACGGACCACTCCCTCCGACTCAGAAAGTGGAACCATACTACCACCCTCAGCATGGAAAGACTGAAGGAGGGCCTTCATTTGGGCCAACTCAGACTTATGTTGAACCATCTCCATGGACAACCTTTCTGTATTGGTTCATCTGGCTCACTTCGCTGGGACCACGGCAGCCATAACAGCCAACAGCTTCAGGCATGTCGCCTGGCCCAGTGAGAATGGGCTCTGCTGCACTGCATCCCAGTCAGCTGAGCACTCTAGCCTGACTGCCCGCAGCATAACACCACAGTTAGGACATGCGTTATCTGTCAGYGCCTACCTCAGATGCTCTACACCGAGGCAAGAAGGACTCGTCGAGCCTGTTGTCAAGCTGGAGCGAAGCCAGACATGTCGCACAACATAAATTTTCCAGKATCATCCTACTACAATAACTGTGACCAAAAAAACAACAGAAAAAGTCACTCGAGCAGAAAACGCTACCGGTGAGTCAAATTAAGCCACAATAGTAATGAAATCAACTACTTTCGTTAAAAAGAAAGCAAGCAAACTTACCAGTCGTAGATTCAAATGACAACTGCTACCTGTTAGGAGAAGCTTGTGCAGCCCCTGGAGGTCAGACTCACCCACAGCTCCAGCTGTAATGGTCATGAGGCTTCTGGCAACAAGCACTAAAGAAGTGGTAACCACAAAAGCTGTTAGCTTTAGCACAACCACCTGTACTCCGTATACTTGCGCGCAAGAAGAACAAAAGGGATTCAGCACMGCCTCTTGCGGTCAGTAGGGATGAAATTGAACAGACAGTTGAATTATTTAAATTGGAAAATTCCACCGGTCTGAATTAAATGAATTTGCAGGCCAGATATGGCCCGCAGACCGCCTGTTAATTGTCGCTGTTTTTAAGGATATGATGGCTTGTTTGCAAAACTAGCCCAACTAATTTATTTCACTTTTCACCTATAGTGCTGTAAATACTGGAAGAAAACAAAACTTACTAGAGTTTAAATACTGTGGTAGACGACAATGTTTCMACAATTTAGGTGGTTTAAAGCAAATGGAGGGAGAGAGCACCAGACTTGTTAGCTTGAATTATTTATTTTCAGTGAAAGTCCTGAACCGACTGAAACACAAGTGAATGATTTTCTTTTACAGAGTCACTGCTTTAGAACATTAACTTCATTTTACTGGCTCGTCTTGTTCCATGTTGGTTGTTCAGAGGTCCTTCTTCCCCAGTCTCTCTCTCACTCACACACAGGCTTGTTTTTATATCCCCGTGGGGACCATGGATTGACTTCCATTTATTTTTTGTTAATTTTATTGCCTAACCCTGACCATTTACCCTAAAATTAACCTCACCGGTACATACCTGACCCTAAAACTAATCTAAACTCAATTTGCACCTTGGTCCTAAACCGAACACCCCACCCGAAATTAGCATCCGTGGGGACCAATGCCCAGTCCCCACGAAGCTGCCATTTTCTGGAAAATGGTCCCCGCAATGTAGCAAAAATGTGTCCACTTACACACACACAGCCTCTCTAATGAGCCAATGAGCTCCAGACTTGTTTATGCATCACAAAGCAGCGCATTTCACTGGTGACCTGCGTTTACCCTGAGCCGCCGAGCCCGTAAATGGATGCTTTGTGACTGAGTGAGAGAGCAACCTGTCGGCTCCCTCAAAGAGCCGAGGCGTTCAGCAGCCTGCAGAAACCAGAGAAACACACAGCCTCAGTTTGCACGGACATGCACACATTAAACCTCCATCTTTCTACAAACAAGGAAATTCCTCTTGGATTTTCTCATGAGGACAAGTTTTGCGGATTGAGCTGTGGTTCAAGGTGTGCGTGCGTGCGTGCGTGTGTTTACACTCACAGGAGCATGTTTTCTCCACGCACACTTTCACTGCCAGGACCAAAGYTGTGACCACTTCACCGTGTTTTTCTTTTAAAGGCTTTCCTTGTCTTTCATTTTACCGTCTGACCTTGCAGCGAGGCGGGACGTTGGAATCGAGCAGGCCTCGATTGTTCAGAGAGCTGATTGTTGCTGAGTGAAGAAGAGAAATGGGGCAGAGGGAATGGGTGCAACCACACAGGAAATGATCATTAAAAGTGTGACATTTTACTTATTTGTTACTGCAGGCGGTTGGAATAACAAGTCTGAGAAGGGTTGTTTTTTAGCACTTGGGCTGACGTGGAGGAGATGAAATCAATGTTTGGAATTTGAATATTGAGATTTGGCTGCTGAAAGTTGGCTTGCATGACCACGAAACAGACATCAACTAGCTGTGATATATTGAGTAGAAAATGAAATAGTTTTTTTTCCCTCTAGTATATTTTTAGTCCAGTTGATTACTATGCCAATGGATCACTGTATTGTATATATGTATATTGCACTTCAGATGTTTTCAGGCTGACAGAACCTTTTAATAAGTTTTAAAATAAAAGGGCTTTTTTTGTGTGTGTCCACATTGCATGATGTTAGTTGTTAGTTGTAGTTCCTAAAGCTACAGTTTCATTCAGTTTATTTACGGAGCACAAATTGCAAAAGTCGTAGTGCAAAGTATCAGGAACTCCAAATCATGCAACTATTACAGAGGTTAAAAGGAGAAGCTTCTTTGATACTTTTAAGGTTCTGGTGTAGTGATGAATCATGTCTCCTCTTTCCTTTCCTTTTTTCCAGGCCTGTGGCCCAGTCCAGGTTTCTGTGGCCACCAGAACCCCCTGCAGTCAGGGTTGGACCCCCTCCACCTCCATGCCAGGCCATAGCAACTCTCAGGTGTGTCTTTATGTTGAAGATTTTCAGTCTATCAGAGAGTGATAACCCAAGGTGGTTTAAACAAAGTCAACCAAATTCTTCTGTATCTGAAGACCTTTCACTTTCAAAATTTTAGGGTGTAGTGAGCTGATCTAGTTTTTGATAGCTGTTCTGACATGTAAATCACTTTGCTCCCTCAGGTATTTTGTTAGCCTGTTCTGCAAAGGAAATGTTTTGGTGACACCCAGTGGCGGCTGGTGGATTTTTCTCCAGGGGGGCTACAACTCCTGTATTTATTAAACAAATCCAAATAATAAAACAGTCATGTAGTTTTTATTTTTAGTACACAATTTTTGCTCTTCTGTAACTGAGAAGCAATTTTTTCATGACTCTGGTTAAAGTCAGGGATGTTTTAWCCAGATTCTTCTCTATAGAGCATGGTCAGTGCAGTGAGATGTGATGTTGTACCTGAGGAAAGTCTGGATTCTCTTCAGTGTTGAAGCTCCTCTCAGATTCAGCTGTGGTCAGAGGAGATGTGATGAGAA